CTACCCTGTGCTTTTTCCCTGTCTCACTATGTAGCTGGGGTTGTGCTTGACCTTGAACAATTCTTTTGCCTTAGTCTCCCTTGTGAAAGGGAGAGGGAAAGAAAAAGAGAAGTTGGGAAGAGGAAGGAGGAGGTGGGGGTGGGGGGCGGGGCATGAACCACCACACTTGGCTATCAAATTTTTCTTGTAAATGCATGGGTTTGCTTGTGTGTTTGAGTTAACTTGTGTCTTTGAGGAAAGAAAGATAAGAATGAAGACGAAAAGGGTCAGCTCTTGTCCAGGTTGCTATATGAGTGATCTATCTTATACAGACATAATTTTCTTAGCAACTGAGTGATCTTTCCTTCCTACCTTCTGCCATCCTATGCTCTCTTTTATATGTCACATGCTTATTTTGTAAACAACTGAACTGCATGAAGTTGTTGAGAAATTATAAATGCATTTTAATATTTTGAGAGTGGATACTGGGATCAGACATGGTCAGGCACACTGTCAAAAGCACATGGCTCCTCTCCACCAGTTCTAATACAAGGTTATGGAAGAAGAGATAAAATACACATGACAAGACTTCTTACATATTTCTTTAAGTGCTAAAGATACAGAGCAACCAACGCTTTCACATAATTTACAGGTCTGAAAATTCTCACGCTCCTTCTTTTGCTGCTTGATAACATATGTGTTGTCTAAGTTAGGGTAAACAATAAATGAGTAAACTTCCTTAGAAACTGGAGAGTACCTTATTTAAATGTAAAGTTTATTTTCAACGCATGGTATTTTATACATTACTTATTCATTTGATTGCCCATAGTTGACACTATTTTCACATGCCTCCGGATGTTCTCCTGTCCCCGTGTTGCAAGCAATAGAGCTCCCGGAGGAGCCCCTTCCTCAGACCTAGTTCCCCCAGGTAACATCCACCCCCATTGGGCGTGGTCTGTGCCACGTGCAGACAAAGTGACTATCTCACTACAAGGCACTTATGGTATTTTGCTACCGTAAGTCTGATTATTGGAGCGATAGAGAAAAGGGCTGCTGAGAGAGGGCCTTAATTCATTTGTTCTTTACTCTGTGTTCAGACCATGGTACTGAAAAAGCCTAAAGGCAATGGAAGACCCTGACTACTTATAATTTTTTTACTTCAGTAGTTACACCCCACAGTTGCTTTTGAATCAGCAGACTCTAATCTACTCCTTTACTTTAGATAAATGGTTTTAATTGGGTTCATCTTTCCAATATGGGAAAATATATCTGTCATATCTGCTTCTCACCAGAACTCTTTTCATTTATCACATGATGCATGTCTATGCTCCATAAATTAGCTTTGAAGGGTTTCTGATTTATACAGAGGTGGAAACAGTCTCTATGGCCTATCCATTTTTTCAAATTGGATACATAAAATCAAATACCCACACTTAAATTATCAAACGAATCAACACATATACTTGAGTTCTACTTACCAAAAATATGTTTCACATATAGTCAATGAATCATGGGTTTAATCTGAATATGCTGAAATATTAAATACTGCTACCTGTTATGAAATATGTTAAACCTTTGACACACAATTTGTAGTTTAACACAAGAGTACATTTTCTTACATAAATTTTAATCTCGTTAAAATCATTCAAGTCTTGGAATATTCACACATTAAAAATTATCAGAAAAATGATGAAATTTTTAACAAATACTCTGTGTGCAAGGGATAAGCTCCTTCAGCAAGCTGAAGCCTCTTGAGTATCTCAATACAAAGCCTGTGTACTTAATGACAAGAACACTGCCATCAATTATCAGGATGCCATTTGAAGAGCAAGAGCCTAGCTAGGCATGGAGGCACAGGCCTTGAATCCCCAGCACTTAGGAGGCAGAGGCAAGAAGATCTCTGTGAGTTTGAAGGCAGGTTAGGCTGCATGGTAAATCCAGGCCAGATGAGACTCTATAGTGAGACCCAGTATCTAAAAAAGTGCTATCAGAGAAAAGAAAATCCAGTAATGCTTTTCATTCATAAGAGAGAATACTCCACAAAACACCAGGATTGGCAGATTTTATTCATATAATAAGAATTTTACATCTCCAAAAACATGTTCACATTTATCTTTTTCTTATAGCAATTATCACCACTTGGAGATATATACCAAAGGTTTTCATGGGTCCTTAACCTTTATAGTTATGGAATCTGTTTAATAGGAGATAATTAAGAAAAAAGAAAAAAAGAAAGAAAAGGAAAAATAGAAATAGTTTTTGCTTACCTAATTTAGATTTTTCATATAGAATGTTTTTAGAAAGTTTGCTTTTTATATGAGCTGACTAGGTTCCCTCATATGCAAATTACAGGAAGAAAATGGCTTTATTTATCAAGCTTGTTAGTGTTTATGTTTGAATATGTTATTTCCCGATTTCATCATTATTTCACTCTGTGTTGCTGATAATCTTCAGGGTAGAGATCAAATAATAAAGAAAATTCTATAAACTATGTCTTTAATAAGTAGAAAAATAATTTAAAAATAAGATCATAGTATTTTATTATAACATAAATAAACTACTTTGTTACCACATATGGTACTAATCTATGTTTTATTTTGCTATTTTCAGTCCTTTTAAATTCATTTTCCTATCTACAGATAAAAAAATAACTAGCAATTAAATAAAATCTATGGGTTAAATATCCATATATGATGGTATCCCTTGAATTGTGTCTCCAAGCTAGAGCACAATGGAAATTATGACTGTGCTGAAACCACTTAACAAGAGTCCTTATCTGCAGTCTCCTCCCATTAAATATGTCTTGCCCCAAATCAAAAAGTCATCTCTCTAGGAAAAAACCAAACTTTCATTGTTTTGTCCTAAAGCTTTAAATAGCTTTAAAGCTATTTTCCACACACACAAAAACAAACTTACTGCATTTATTTGAAACTAAATCACTTAATATGTGACTCAAACTACTATATAAATTATATCTCTTACTAGGCAACTTGGCATCTTTTCAATTCTCCTTCTGCAATAACAACTTAACCAAATCACAGGGCACTGCTGACAACATTATCCTTCCCCTTGTGTGCTTATGTGAACACTTCCCTTCTGCCTAGCTAGTCTGTGGTTTTCTCACATTTAAAATACATACATATATATATATATATATACATATATATATGTATTATATTTTTTACATATCATATCAATCCTAGTTCCCTCTTCCTCCCTTCCTCCCATGACTTCTGATTCCCCCCTCCATTCCCCACCCATTCCACAGGGAGGGTGATGCCTTCCAGGAGGGATCATCAAAATCTGTCAAGTCATTTGGAGTAGGCTCTCCCTCCTGCCTCTAGGCTAAGGGAGTATCCCTTCATGTGGAATGTGCTTCCAAAGTCCTTTTGTGCACCAGGGATACATCCTGGTTCCACTGTCAGAGGTCCCTTAGACTTCCCAGGCCTTCTAACTAAGACCCATGTTCAGGGGGTATGAGACAATCCAATGCTGGTTTCCCAGCTATCAGTCTGAGGGTCCATTAGCTCCCCCTTGTTCAGGTCAGCTGTCTCTGTGGGTTTCTGTAGCCTGGTCTTCACTTTCTATCTATGAAGTTTCCTAGTCCCCACACTCCCAGAATTTGTTCAATTACTCTGTATTCTATAATTCTTTGATTAAAATAGAATTTTTGCACAACATATGCATTACTTTACCCCCTCATTCCTCACATACTTTGTCTTTTCAAAGGTAGACTATCTTAGCCTTGAATTTAGAGCGAGCACACTGTAGAACTTCAATCAACATTTGTTGACCAGAAAAATCTATTATGTGACATTGTCTTTCTATAACTTAGAACTCATGAATGAGATTTTGCCTATACAAACAATTACTAGATTAATGAAGAACCTAGTGAAATCATACATTTTTCCTAGTTACTTCTACTATTTCAGTTAAAAGGAATAGATGTAACTACAGAGCACGCATAAGCTACACTGTAAAAGAGAGAGTTCTTAAAGTTTTTATTTACTGTAAATTGTAACAGAGTCATAACTGACTAGAAGGCTCCTGGCTTAACAACGGTGTAATGGTATATATACATTCCACTTAACCTTTGTGAGATATTTGAAAACATAGCTGCTAATGCTTTGATTGTCAAGGATTATGAACACAGACAAGACATAGTTGGTTTTTCAATTCCAAGAAGTATAATTCTATCATCCATCCATTTACCCTGCATCCACCCATGCATGCATCCATGCATCCATCCATGTATTCATGCATGCATGCATGCATGCATGCATGCATCCATCCATCCATCCATCCACAAATGCATGGTCTATTAAAGCTCTAATGTCTACAATTTTATGTTCACAAAGATGAGATTCCAAAGAAATGTAAGGAGTCCCAAAGATCCTACAAGAACTCAGACTAAGTCCAAAAAGAATTAGTTGGGCTGGCAAAATAGCTCAAAAGGTAAAGCTGCATGCTATGCATGCCTGATGTTCTTACAGGATGGGACCATTGGAGGAAGAAGAGAATCCTGAAAATTATTCTCTGACTTTCACCTACCCACCTCACAAATAAATCACACATACATACACACACACACACACACACACACACACACACACACACACACACACACACACACACCCTTGCAATGTGAAATAAACAAAATTTGAAAAATGATTTGAAGGATGTAACAATAGCTCGTCTCATGAACACTAAAATTAAGGTGCAAGTTGCCTGGGTGGACTCCTTACTCTTTGTAAAGTGTTCTTTCCCTGTATGAGCAGTAGTTTGGGACATCACATCTAATTCTAAAGGAGCCCAATGAGTTGAAGGATAAGTTATTTTTTAAAAATTGAAACAAAGGATCAATGAAATTCTAAATGATATTTGAACCCTATTTACAGTAAAAGCATGCCAACAGTAGCAGCAGTCCTGTGCATTTTTTTGTTCTAGTTGTTCAGAAATGAGACCTATGGAGTTAAGATGCATGTCAAAGATGCTTTGACATAGCAATAACTCAGATCTACCTTTGCTTCTGCTGCATGGGTTGTTGTCTCATAGCCATATACTGCATATCTTCTTGTAGACGATTAAGAGGAGAATCTGGCTTCACACGAATCCCATAGTAATGATACTTGGAGTTTCCTCTTCACGAATGAACAATAAATATAGAAACATGAAAAGTCAGTAAAACTAATGTTAACCATTAACGTCACACAGAAAAATTTGCTTAACACATTATACTAACATTTCACAGTTACGATTTACCTTTTCTAGATGCCTGTTATATTTCTATAGTGGCATTCCATAAAGTCAAAATAATATATGAAAGCAATCACCTCAAAAGTAAACATTTCCTTTAAACGTTCACTTCACTATTCATCAAAAAGCCCATTTGTTGCGCTCACCATTACTTTACTTGTTAATATATATTTCAAGTTCAATTTAGAAGGGGTAATGACTGGAAAAGAATTTGGGCCAAACACAATTCAACTACAGCACTGTACACAAGAAAACAATTGCCATAAACACATGGAGAAAATCATTTTTCTGTAGTCTTAGATTAATTCTTTGTGTATTTTATTTTAGAAATGATGCCATAAAATCATTGGTAGATGCTACAATGGTCTATTATTTAAGGGTTTGAAACCTTAGAAGGAAGAAGTACTTAACATATTTCTTTTTAAATACTTTTCACTGTTGATTTTATTGATTCACATCTGCTGTTTACTAATAAGATATACCGTAAAAGATTGGGACATTTCCCTGTAAAAATGGTGAAGGTCCCCGGAATAAAAATTTTGGAACTTCTTAGTATTTTTGAGAAATATAATGCTTGATATTAGAAATGACAATTTTTATCCTGAATGGAACTTGCAAATCCTTGCAAAAGTAACATTTTAAATATGTAAATTCTTGCCGAGAGACTACTTTTTCACAAGTCTATATATAGCAATATGTCAGTGAGTGCTCTTCCATTTTTTTTTTCATTTACAAAGAGAAATGTAAGCTCTGTGTGGATTAAATATTTTTAATGAAAATAATTTTACTTCCAAGATTAACAAACACACATTAGATGAACCATACATTTGAAGAGACATTAAAGCCATTAACTGCCTATACTTTCAAGAAAATGACAGAAGCAAAAACTTAATGCCTGCAGAGAAAGATCTTCTACTTGAGAGATTATATCTTGTCCTCAAAACCCACTGAGATTAGATCAAAAACCTACAGCAAAACCTACCAGCAACACAGCTGTTGTGTTCTATACAAAAGGGAAGGGCAGGAATCAGGAGGCATTAGTCATGGAAAAATGCACACTCTAAGACTCAGTTTCTTATAAATTAGCATTGGGGTTGGAGTGACAGGAAGGTCTTTTTATGCCACCTGGAATGGCCTGGGAAGAGAAGTCCACCCAGGCTCACCCTCAGTCTGATGTAATTGGACATGGGACCTATCAAAATCTACTCTTTTCATTGTCTTTGGTAGAAATGCAATGGTTTTATTTGCTTTTTGTTCATGTGAGTGACAAAAAGAATTCTGGTCTGGTATGGATAATTTACCTAGATAATCTTGCTGACAGATAACACTTCTATAGACTGTTAACTTAAAAAACAAATGAACAAATAAAAAGCCATGTGATTTAATCTGCCTCCTGATCTATACCGATTTTCCGTCTATTCCTTGGCATGGAGTGAAAAGTCGATGTTAGTTTCCACAGTAGTAGAATCTCTGCAAGTTCACAGCTAGCACCATCAGCTTTCTCTATTAGCATTCTCCAGGCTTCCTAACATTCCATTTGTTTAAACTCAACCTGTAGCATTTATTCCTTCCTTGTTCCTTCAGGCTTTCCTTTCCAATTCAATTGCATATGCCACATACAATGTTAAAAGGATTAGGAGACAGGACCCTTGACAGTAGGGAATTGAAAGTAAAAACTGCAATACTGCAGAATGTACTTATAGAATATGGATTCTACTCATTCACAAACCCAAACAACCCCAATTTTGTCCCTTTCTATTTTAAAGATGTGTTTCAAGGTTTGAATAGAGCCTCAAAATGGGACCCATTGAAATCCCTTTCAATAACAAAAGCAGTGCCACAATACAGCTATTAGAATGTTGACTAAAGCCTAGAGTTTCAAAATATTGGCACCATATGTATAACTACTGAGCCATCAGCTAGGAAATACTAGGTTAGGTCTCCAAATAATGATTTTCCTGGTTTTGGGGGGATAAAATAAGAGAGAAACAAAAGTTCTTTTTTTTTTCCCCCAAAGGAATGAAAGCTAGTTTCTTCAGTGTGAATAGACAATCACATTCTGCAATTTAAAATGTACTACCTTTTGAAGTACCAAAAGAATATATTTATGAAAGAACTGAACCTCTGGCAATTTGAAAGTTGCACATTTGCTTCAAAGCAAGTTAAAAGAAAAATTCACACTTCAAACATATACAAATTCTCCTAAAACTAACACAGTAATAAAGTTCTGGGCATACTATCCCAAAATATGGTATGCAACATTAGAAAAACCAGCAGAAACAGGCCATGGAGTAGAAAAAATTCTTTCAGTTCTACCCAGTGGTGTGGGTGATAAAACATAGCTGATGTTTCTTTGTAAGTAGGTCTTAGAACCCTCATGCCAGAGGGGCCTTCCTGCATCTGAGAAAAGGTGTAGCTTTTTGTCCGAGGATACAGTATGGAACCTGAATAAAGGGCCTATTTATAATTTTAGGTCACACTATTTTGTCCAATCATGCTTCTCAAGGACTAGCCCCAATTTTTTCATTTCTTTGATTCTTTATATATAAAGGCATCACACTCTATAAAAATTGTACTACAAAAATGATTTCCTTCTTAAGTTTTATTTTCTACTTCAGTCACCTGAGAAGAAAGCCCTCATTGAGAAATTGCCTAGATCAGATTGGCCTGATGGGTATGTCTTTGGGTGCATGTCTGGATTATTAACTGATACAGGAGGTTCTAGTCCAGTGTGCTGTAACGAGTACTGTTTTTCCGCCCGCCGCTTGGTCTTGTCCAGCCGCCATGCCGCCAGCCCCAAATAATACACAGAGACTCTGTATTTGATACAATACTGTTGGCCCGGTTACTTGTTTCTTATCGGCTAGCTCTGCCTTTAATTATGAACCCATTTCTGCTGATCTATGTATTTTCACATGGCCTTCTCTTACCGGGGAGGCGGCTGGCGTCCAGCTCTCTCCAGACTCTCCATTTTGACTCCTCCTTTTTACTTTCTATTTCCTCCTTGTCTCCTAGTCCCTCCTATCTTCCTTTCCTATTTATTATTACTCCGTTTCTTTTACTTTTTATTTTTTGAGACAGGGTTTCTCTGTGTAACTCTTATCTGTCCTGGAATTCACTCTGCATACCAGGTTTACTTTGCAATCACAAGAGATCTGCTTGCCTCTGTCTCCCAATTGCTGGGATTAAAGGCGTGTGCTACAACACCCAGTTCCTCTTTGTCTCTTTAAAACCATTTTTTTTTTTTTCATGTCTACGTATATTTTAAAACACACTGTAAATCTTTAGAGGTTTTTCTTAATATGAATCTGTCTTTACTGTAAATCTTTATCTTTGTCTGGCCACAAGTCTTTTATCTGATAAACAACAACAGTGTGCGAAGCAAGAGCTTGTCAGTTAGCCAGTAAGAAGCATTTTTCATGGTCCAGATCTCCAGGTTTGGAAGTGCTTCAGATCAACTGTTTATCACAGTAAGGGAAAGAAAGCTAGGGTGTGTCGGTGTTTCCTGTGTTAAACTGTGTTTTGCTGTAGGGATCTGAGCCATGTGTCTGGACACGGGTAGGGGCAGATTAGTCTTTCTGGAAACATTCACTTCTTCTTTCAGCACAAATGCATAATGATGTTAATTGCTAGGGTATTGCTTCCCTTACAGAGAGTTAAAAAAAACAAAAACAAAAACCAAAAACCAAACAAACAAAAACAAACAAATCCTTTATACTGTAATTCTTTGAGGCAGTGACTTATAACTACAGATTTATCACCCAATGTACAGTGCAGAATCTCTAGGATTCCAATATGACTTAGAAAGCCAATGGATTTATATGTTTCTCCCTACCCACTTAAAATAGTAGAGAATAAAAATGAAGCTCCAAGGTTCTAAGTTTTCTTTTCATCGTATTTGTTTAGAAAAACACTCACTGTCTCTGAAGGAAAGAGACCCATGAGACTGAAAGTCCCTTCGTCACATCACTGCTCTCTAAGATGGATGTGTGAGTCTCTAAGATGGATGTGTGAGGCAGTTTCACTCCACATATGACTACTTTTTCAGTCAAGAGCAAGAGAAAGCTAGTAAGAAGTCAAATAGGACCATAAGCAAGAAATTTAAATGTGCACACTTTACAAGTTTGCCAAATACGTTTAATTCGCCCTAGAAATACAGAATAAAGTAGAAACCTCCACCTTAACTTCTAGTCTAATAATTTTCTTAAAAATAATTGAATGTATTTTAAAACAATATGAAAGTGCTTCGTTTCCCAGTTATTGTGTCAATTTATCCATGTTTATTTTCAAAAAGCAATGACAGTGGTATATAACAATTATTAAAAGTATCATATGCAAATCTTGCAGGAAAAGGTTGGCTTTCTAGTTTCTATGCAGTTTGAAAATCAGTTTGGTGATAGTCACTGAATAATAATGTTCCTTTTCCCGTGGACTTATATATAAAGTGACTTTGTTCCACATTTATCTCCTTTATGTTTGCTGTATTCCAGTACATTTCTGCTCAGCATACAACACTGATGTAATTTGATAAAGAAAGATGAACTAATTATGTCAATTGTCAGTACTAACCTAGTTCCTAGTCTCCTAGTTCGCAGCCCCATAAAAATGGACCTTATTAGTTTCCCAAAAGAGGCAGCGTTGACTGGGTCCAGTTTGTGTTCCTGACAGTGTCGCAGATAGTGATTGTACAGGGTGCTTCTTGGAAGGCTTACTCCTTCTGCTGTCTCGTAATTGTCCAACAGCCACTGGAGCTGTTAAGATAAGAGAATAAGCAGAGAATTCACGTAATTTGCCAAAACATCAGCAAGATTCGGTATGTACAACTACTTGGAAGTACTTTATTAACTCAGGATAAACTGGGATTATCCAGAAGCTGGAAAATCTACCTTTCTAAGCTCTGGGAAATGTCAGCAGTTATCAGTTTAGACAATATCTTATCTTCAAATTGTCAAGCCAAGGTAGAGATAATCATTTTCCCTATATTGACTATTATCTTGGACACACATTCTTCTTTCAAGAATTCAAATAACAGCATTCACTGGTCAAAATTAATAACATAAACATATCATTTATAATTGTTATAAAACAAAACATTCTGCTAAGCCTGGCAACATAGCACCTAATATATTCTAAGTCTGGTAACACAGTACCTAATGTATCTTTCAGATTGGTTTATTACAATAAGTAAACAGTAGATTTCCTTATATGAGATTTTATATTGAGATTTTATTCATTTTTACAGAATTATAATTTACTTATCTCAAATTACCACTAAATAATAACATTATTATCTACTGGGACAAATATTGCAAATAGGCAAAATTGAGTCATTATTCCCTCCAAATAAGTACACTCACTAGAAGGTCCAAACAACTTCTATATAATGAAAGGCAATAATATTTACAACCATCTCAATTTTCTATCTCAAAGTTGACATATCTTTTTTCCTAAAATTTTTAGAAGGCACACTACCATGCTAAACAGTAAATGATGTTTTCTCCTTCTATAGTTCATATTTTAAAGTTTTATATTGTACTTTATTGTTTGAAAAATGTTTAAATTTGGAATATACAAGAAAAAATCACTGCCATTTACTTACAAAACAAGTAAAATAAATGTAAGTGATTTTTGCAGGAATTTTATACTGTCTCAGTGACTGCGTGTGGTTTTTAATTCTCATCATGTAATTACTCTATACCAACAGGTCATCAAAGCAGCAAATATTTGATGTTATGTGTCTTAACCATCTCCACAGCATGTATAAATGGATTGTAATTAAGTGTGAATTATGGAAGTAAAATAATTTAAAGATGAATGCGACTCTACCTGTCCTCTGGGTATTTATTCAAAGGCTAAAAGTGATGATGATCTGGACAGCCAAGTATATCAAAGAATTATTTTTTCTATCAAGTTTATGTATCTCATTTAAGACTTTTGATGAAACTGAGATCCAGAATTTTGGGAATTTTGTAAAAAATTACAATATTTTGATTATTTTTAAACTATAACAACTGAATTTTCCAGAGCATTTCAATTTCAACCATTATTAGATAATCATTAAATAAATAAGTATATCATCAAACTTGCAATAATTTATGCCTTTGAAAATACACCATAAAGCATATAAGATTCTTGTAAAAATAAAATTGTATCCCATTCAATACTTCTAATTCCTTAAGAAACATACACACACACACATACACACACACAAACTAAAAATACATATTAATATTATGTCATAAATAATTCAACACTATAACACTAACAAGATTACACAAATTAGCTCTCCTTTTTATACTGACAGAAAAGTAATAGAGGTCATAAATTTTTTTTCATAGCATTTATTTTTAACCTTCCTATCAGTAAAAAAAGTTTTCTAGAGACACTAAAATGAATGTTGCATATTGAAAATAATGCACATAATATGTTCTCTACAAACATCTGTTTAATATGAACGTCCAAGGTAAGCTCACACATGCATTAAGTCACTGAGGTCATAATCAGTGCTCTACTTGGAACAGTGGGCTGGCATGCTTTAGAGGTTTTTCCTTTTTTAAATTTCAACAGTTTAAAAATATAAAACACAAGTGATAAAGACAGAATACAGCAATACAAACCTGACTCGTATTTCATCCATGTGCCTCAATAAAATGATCAGGACTTGAAAGCATTTCTAGTGGAATTCAAGTAGCCATTGTCAACCATATTGCATAAAAGTGAGCTTACAGTCTTTCATACATGTGCTAGTGAGAGCAAGATATACCTGCCTTCTGTGGGTATTTTTTAACATGTTAAAAACAGGAAAGAAACCCTTGACATCAAGAGTTAACAAGGAAATACAAAAAACAAACAACCCAAAACTGCCTAGATTTTGTATAAAGAGGAAAATATTTTCAGCAGTTGCAAATTATGTAATAAATTTCTCCTATCCACAAGCACACGTCATCGAGCACTTATAAGTTAAAAGTAGCAAAGGTGTGTGTGTGGGGGGGGCTGTTATGTGGGTATTTTGCACGTGTTTATGCTTGCATGTATATAAATGTGTGTCCATGTGTATGTGTGGTGTGTGTGTGTGTGTGTGTGTGAGAGAGAGACAGAGAGGGAGAGAGAGAGTAAAAGGCATATTAACATGATTAAGAAAGGAACGAAACAATTCAATGTTCTTTTCTTTGTTAAGGTGACAGATTTATATAGAAAAATTGAAGGGGCATTTTCCCCCAGAAATGGGAATGTGAACACAATTTTAAAATGTGAACTTTATAATCACAGTATACAAATAAAAGTATATAAATAAATCAATATAAATGAAAATTTTAATACTACCATCATTATAACATTTAACTACTTAGAAGTAAACAATAACCAGGTACATGAGCTTCATTTCTCAAAGTCAATGATAGTATCTTAGAGATAAAAAAACTTTGTGAAAGACTTTGAAAAAGCTAATCTAAATATTTGATAAACAGTGTATTTAATAAATGTGGAAACTAGCATAAGAATCAAAGGTCAACATAAATTGTTCCCAACAGTGATTGTGTTTGAGAGTTAATCAGGTCAATTTCATTAAATGTATATTATGTATGAATGTATGTATGTATGTATATACATATATATATTAAAAGTAAATCTTTATGGCAGAGTGTCTAGTTTTATTATAGCAAAAAGTAGCATAAACTATGTAGAATCCTAAATGATACTTGCATCACAGTTGGAGAATTCAGAGAAAATGGAACATTTTTCAGAATAGCTATTAAATCCCTTTACATACAAGTAAAAACTTTGACCTATTTTCAAATCTTATTTTCTTCCTATATTCTACATCCCCCCAAATGTTTTACTTTTATGCTAGTTTTTGAAAATGTGAATTTGACCACTGGGAACACACATGCATATTGCATAGCATCCAGCTGTGTTTGGTTTATCAGTTCTAGAGGACAGTTGTCTTGGTGACTAGGACTTGACAATAGCAAAACTAAATTTGTTTCTACCTCCATCTCATCAAACGGAGGCACTTTAGTCCTTGCAGAAGCATAGAGAGCATGTAGGAGAAGAGCCAAGGGTCACCAGAGGTAAAAGCCCTGAAGACAGAGAGGACTGGCCTACTGCCATGGGGTCCCACTGGGAGGCCTGCTAGCAACCATGCCACCCATGGTTATTATCCAAGAAACTTCCTATAGAAGCAATGCACCATTTAGAATATGCCAAAAAGACTTGGGGATACAGATAGAATATTCAACCTACATTCTACATGCTAGCATTTGATTTTCTCACTTTAACACATGAGAGAACTATAAATTAGATATTAAAAGTCTAAAGCATAGGGCTAGGTAGCATTATTTTTTATTATTGGAGAAACTCAGAAGTTACAGCTCTGTATTATAATGTAAAATAATATGTAATGTCCCACATGCTCCCTACCCAAAGGAACCGAGTAACACTTATAAAGGTACATCGTTTCTTGCTGTTAACAGGATGTAGTTGGACATTAGAATTAAATGCTCTTAACCCTTAGTAGTTTAGAAAGCAGATGTTTCTCTTTATTTTTTTAATAACTGTCTTATAAAGTGACTATACTTACAAATTTTAAAGCCTGTGAAATATCATAGCAACTTTTGACCTTTATCTTTAAAACCTAATTATTCTCATAATGAACCAACATATGCTACATATTCATCTAAGTGTAGATAGCATTGCATCTTTCAACTTTTGCATTTAATCTGTATTAATCAGAACAGATAACAGAGGATAAATAGTTCTTATTTTTCCTAACGGTAAACAAAAATTGACAAATATAAATAAATAATGGCATGCCTAATTAACATCTACATGTAATATCTCATGTTTTAAAGATGGATTATTATCAATCAGGAACCCGTTTAAGTTCAGTGCACCTATGTTATACATTTGACAGGCCTATGGTAATTTCTGTTTACAATAGGGCCATGTCAGCAATGGGTGAATGACTAAAAACCAAGATTTTATTTAAGATGAATACATTGCAGTAGCGTAAGCTTGTAAGAATTATGAATCAATCTTCTGCTGGATTGTGAAAATTCTGAAATATAAATGCCATACACTGTAAATGGAATTAAGAAGAAACACATGCTTAAGTGTACTATGCAAAAGCCAGTAACAATTAACAATAATTTACATTGACATGTATGATCTAAATTATTCCAAGTTGGATAAAATACAAATACTAAATGAAAATGTGTATTAATTGCAGCTGAGAATACCAGATAAGCTAAAAGTACTAGATAATCTTTGGACTTAGGCAGACCTATAAAATTATTAACAGCATCTTCACATACATACAAATTAAAAATTAAAATATACTCATAGAAGTATTATTTAAAAAGAATTTTATAAAACTAAAATCAGCGCACAGTCTAAAGTACAAAAAGATGAATCATATCACTTAGAGGTATAACTTTTTTAAAGAATTAGACAGGAAGGAAAAGAATTACCCTGTGGGAAATTATAAAGTGACCCACACTTTCTTCATTCAGTTGGAATGCCATTAAGGGTGACCCCTCTGTCAATACATACACACTGACTGAATATTTGGAGACAAAAAGAGAAATCAATACAGTCTCCATATTAGTTCCAAATATAAAGTCACATGACTGGGAAAAGAACCCCAGAAGGTTAAAGATAGGTTCTGTACCTTTCTATTGTTTCTGATACTTAGTGTGCATCTACTGCAACGTACCAGCACTTTTCTAGGCATTGTGGTGGTTGTAGAAGACAAACCATAAAAACCCATATTATTTTAGAGTTTTTACTAGTCAATAAATATTTCTTGGATGTCTGTGGTGCTAAGGCTGACATAACGCCACCAGGTTAACATAAACAGCCTAAAAGTGCCGTGTGCAGCATAACTTTCATCAGCTGTAGCAGGAACACAGTATCGTGTACCAAACGTAGAAATTTCACTTGCATTTTAATGAGGATGATAAAAGTATATTGAAAATAATGGATGTAGATTGGCAGCATAAAATACTCTATAAAATGCTCTGAAAGGAGCTGGGAATACACTGTGGTTAAGAGTCTTGCTGCTCTTCCAGCGGAACTGGGTTCAGTTACCAGCACCCACAAGCAGCTCAAACAATCTTCAGTTTCCGGGATCCACCGTCCTCCTCTTGCCCTCTGTGGGCACCGGGAACGCATGTGGTCCACATGCAAACATTCAGGTCAACAGTAAAAACAAGTACCTCTTAAAAAAAAAAAAAAGATTCTACTCAGAGAATGCAAATAAAATGAAATACTGCTTCATCATCAAATGTGTGGAAAGCAGGGGAAATGGAAATAGTCAAGATAGATTCTCCTAGGCAGAGATTATTTACTTAATTTGCATGTAATAATCTTTCTGAACTACTGTTAATAATTGAATCATATGGATAAAACAGGAAATCATTTCTGTACCACATCACAAAGTAAAATAGACTTTTATGCTCAAAACTACTATTAACACCTGTTTTTAGAAGTTTGAATACGAATACACATAGATAATGTTCCCTAATTTCTTTCTAATGAGACTGATATTTGTACAAACTTATAATTCAGAGAACTAATAGACCATCATAAAGGTGAACTACTCAACTATGTCAGAGTATTCTGTATTATACTTTTGTGATGGGTAATGCAACATAGTTTATTGGCATTTAAAATGTGGGCAATATGTATTAAAACATTGTCCCACTGTCAACTTTGTATGTGACAGAAAATCACCAACAAAGTGTGAATTTGAAACTCCTTAAGACATTACTAGCCTGAAGACATGCATTAAGTAGCATTTTCTTTATTTTTTGTTATTTTTAATTCTATATTTTACTTTATTATACATTACTATACATTTGTTTGTTTGTTTGTTCTAGTTGTTGGGGAAACTCCAATGAAAGTCAGATAATGAACTTCCTAAGGGAAAACCAATGTAAATGTTTTCTGCATTCAAGAAGCTAACCACATGGGCATCAGTTAACACTGATCCTGCTGTTTCTGTTCATAAGCCATCTCCAGAATTGACGTGGGATGCCCCTCTGTATGCTATCAATATGTTTTATAACCATTGGTTAATAAAGAAGCTGATTTGGCCAATATCCAGGCAGTATATAGCTATGTGGGAAATCCAAACAGACACACAGAGAGGGAAGGCGGGGTCAGGGAGATGCCAGAACAGTACCAGTAAACCATGGCTATGTGGCACAATATGCAATAATAGAAATGGGTCAATTTAACTGTGAGGTCTAGTCTGTAATATGCCAGAGCCATTGGCCAAAAAATTACAATTCATATTAAACGTGGTTATTCAGGAACTGGTGGGCAGGAGAGAAACATCCGTTTACACAGAATTGTTCCTCTTTCTAAAGACTAACTTATCCATGAAGTTCTGAGGAAGCCTGAGCACTTCAGAGATGTAATAACAATGAGTGAAACAAGGAAACAAAGACTATCAGCACAAGAGCAACATTTGCAGCCACCCTTCCTATATTCTGAAATGCAGATAGTAGGGTCTGCCATATGGAAGATTTGCCACACTATGCAATGAAAACACAGAATGAGGGAAGGCTACATATCGTTGTGTGTGTGGCTTCCTTCACACAATCATTGACAATGAATTTTAGTATACAAGTCCTAATTGAAGAAAATGATTTTTAGATATCCCCAAATATTTCAAAATGCATAGAAATTTCAGAAAGTTCTTATACCTACATTACTGTTCTAGAGAAAATATCAATAAAGTTGGGTGATTAAAGTTAAATTTAAACGGCATGTTATGCTATTTTTCATATCTCAAAAGTGAAATAAGAATTGCCTTTCAGAGTCAAGTCAGAAATATGAACTTTTCAAAAGAGCAACTACAAATTTCTATTCGTTTTTAAAAAATATTTATATGCCTGCACACGTCTGGTTGGAAGTGATAAGCATTGTCACTTGCTATTTTCAATATACAAACTGGGAAATGCATTTCAATGGCATATGGTGAACTAGCCTTTAACACAGCCACAGACTCACTCCAATAAGTAGGGTATATTTAAGAACAAAGAGTGGGAAATTGTGTTCAAATTGTTTTTAAAAAGAGGTGACAAAATATATATCCTTATTTTAAAGTTTCTATCTATAATTTTCACCAAAATTATAGGCCTTCTGCAAATTGGCTAACATGTTTGTGTTTGCCAAGAAACCTCTCTTGAAAAAGGAATGAGTCAAAACACCTCCTCCAAAAACAAACATTACAACATCAAAAAGAATTGGTGTTCCAGAATACAAATCTTAAACAGTTCAAAGTTCAAATAGTTTTTAAAATAAATCTATAGATATTGTCAAAAATACTATAGCTTTTTTGAAAATTAATGTTATTATATTTCAGTGATCTTAATTTTAAATCTTTTAGTCATAGAAATATTAAGAAAAATAAAGAAATCACAACAAATTAACCCTAAATATAAAAAATAAATCAGTTTGGAAGTAAATTTATAATTCTTGCTCCAATGTCACATATCTACAACAGACCTAAGTTGTCACTGATCCAAGGACATCCCCCATTCATTCAGAAATCACCTTCTCAGAAAACAGTAACAAACATTTTCACTGATTTCCTCAAATTTGAACAGATGACGAAAACGCTCATTTCCCACGACTTACCAGTGTTCTAGTGATGTGCCTGGTAACAGTAAAAGCTCCAAGAAGCTGTGGGGCCATTCTGCTTGCCTCGGGGTTAGCAGCTTAGGGCTTCCTTACAGCTTCACTTTGGGCCCACCTACCTTACAATCTTACCAGTAAGTACACTGCAAATAGTGTAACACTACTTTTGGCATTAGTGACCACTTATCCACTTAGGGACCCCACCAGCCAGACAGTGGGCATGGTCGCTTCTGAGTCTGAGACACAAAGATGTGTATTACAAAATTTTTCCCTTTATATGTTCAAAAGCACTATTCATTACACCTTAGAAATACATGGTGGCTTGTTGTTAATTGGATACAAAAAGTGCAAACACCCAGTAAAGCAGTGCATTGTGGTTCTGTTTTGAGATACCCCACTGTGTAAAATAGACATTAAATGTTTAGAGTCGGAAGAAGCTTGAGAAAGGAAGGTTAAGAAGCAAAATAAATAAGTAAATAAATAAAACAAGCACTTAGAGGCAAGCAACACATGCGAAACAAGCAAGAGATTAGTGTACATGAAGAGGCAACTTACATGGCTGTTGAGAAGAGAGCTTCTGTGAGTGGACAGACCGTCAGACTTTTGCAGCGTCTCAATCGCCATTTCAATCTGATAATAGATGTCATTAAAAAAAAAAAAGGGCTCAAGACAAGATAGTAATAAAAGGCTGACCAGAGAATTTTTGATCGATTCTTAAAGTCTAATTCATTCTTCAATGATGGCTAATGAACAGCTATCACTAAATGTGTTTCCCCCAGCTTTCCCATCCCTAGAGAATTAAATATAATATGCACATTAATAATAAGCTCAGTTACAACAGTAAACCTTTCTGAACACTTTGTAATTATAATTAGTATGGAGATCCGAGGATCAGGAACCCTAGTAGACTCTTCTAATTAAAAGAAAATATTCTTTCCTTGCACAGTTCAAGATGTGGGATATTGGCCCCTCTCTATATAGCCTCACTCCTAAAGCATATTTAACATTTGTTCTATTCTGTCACAAAATAAAAATCATACATCAGAATCTGAGTTTAATAGCATTAGTAGTTTAATGCAAGTTACAAAAAGCCTTCATTATGCCTAAAAGCTAATAATTCTATACATCCCTCTTTAACTCTTGCATTAAAATTTGGAAGGGAAAGGTCAGTCAGGCAAGCATTCAAAGGTGACTATGGTCTCTACACTATATTTTAGGACATGATAATGAAGCAGAAATATTAGAATTAACAGCAGAAAAAAAAGAGTAGAAGAGAAAATAACTCAGAGCCAACAAAAAATGGACAAGAACAGAATTGTTTACATTTACTGTTTACATAACCAGCAAACCATGGACAATCACAAAAGTCTTCTTAAGCAACAGTTTCCAGGGACAAACCTGAGGCACTCTTGATGACCTAACATGTAAGACAACTGTCCTTCAGTTCAGGGAACTACTGCACATTCTATTGAGCCAGAGACTAAACAGCGTGCATTTAGGAACTAAGTTATAGTAATACTAGCTCATTAAAATATCATTATGCAATTTGGAAAACAAATTCCATTATTTTTAACACTATGAATGCATCAACAATTCAGTGTAATCAGTTATCAATTCATAAACATGTACAATTAAAGCCGGACAGTGGTGGCGCATGCCTTTAATCCCAGCACTTGGGAGGCAGAAGCAGGCGGATCTCTGAATGTTCAGACCAGACCGGTCTACAAAGCTACACAGAGAAATCCTGTCTTAAAAAAAAAAAAAAAGTGCAATAATTTATTTTAGAATTAGCTATTGAGCTGTTGTTGAGGTCATAATACCAGGCACAGTGGCTTTTAAATCATTCTCTTCACTGGTGGAGATGCTAACAGAATTAATATTAAACTTGAAAATAAACAGAAAAGGTGATATTGTATATGTTTTAAAAGATCACATTTTAGAATAGACAATGTAAGTGTAAGGAGTAAATATACATTTTCTTTTTTGCCAAAATACTAAACTAAGGAAGCTTAGTATTATATCTCATAAAAGGGATCAGTAAGTGTCCTTCTTTTCAAAGGGAAAGAGAGTATAAGACAGCTGGAAACATTCACATGATAATAAATCATTTTTAAGAAGAATTTGCTCAAAATTGTATTTTGCTAAAATACCTACAATTTCTTTAAAGTCTGAGGGTAAAAGTTTTGAGATGAGACTGTATTTTAATAATCAAAATTGTGATTTTTATAGGTTTAAATGAAAGAAAAAATCAGTAGAATGCTAACAGTTGAGTAACCCTAACCCTTACAAGGGTTTGTGAGACAGCAGCTTCAGTCAGATCGGCCTCTAATTGGTTTCTTTCTGTTTCTATTTGTATTAGTGATGTGGCTGCAAAGGTGCTGCCTGATTCCCAGCTGATGCCCTACCAAGCCTGCCTGCTTGCCTGCCTCTCTCCCTCCCTTCCTCCTTCCTTCCCTCCCTCCCTCCCTCCCTCCCTCCCTCCCTCCCTCCCTCCCTCCCTCCCTCCCTCCCTCCCTCTCATGTATGCTAAAGATTGCTCCTAGCCCTTCTACTGAACTATGTATATTCCCCTCAAACCATTTAACATGAAACTCTGGGAAAGGTGGTAACACGGCAAGAGGAATCGTAGCTCCAACTATATCCACCAGGGCAGATACACTGTCTAGGGGATGTTGGTCCATGTTAGTCCTTCAGAATACAACTTCCGAGTATATGATCAAAGCTGTAAAAACTGTATTTAAGAAGATTTATAAACCTGTACACATTTTTTCATTCTTTAAAATTTCCCTGAACTTAAAATGCATATTAAAAGAGATATACTCCCTTGTGAAAAAAAGTGAGAAAAGTGTATTCTAGGAAGCAAGAGCCGAAGTGAGTTAGGAAGCAAAACAGATGTGGGTGTGTTCATATTAGGGAAAGGAAAATGAATGCATCTTGTGGTACACACACACACACACACACACACACACACACACACACACACACACACACACACCCCACCACCACCACTAATAATAATAACAACAAAATTGAAACACAAAAATTAAAACAAGTTGTGTATTTTGCATCTGGAAAACAGGATACTTGAGGGCATGGAAGGGACTGGCCAGACCTCACCCATTCTAAGGTTCAAGAGTAGGGAAGTTTCAGTTCATTTGAAAGGCTTGAAGAGACAATGCCAGTGCCCCTTCCTGCATAGGACTTCCTGGAAGGAAGCTTGAGTTTATTCACCCCTCTGGGCATTCTGAAGCTACTGCAGCCAGAGTTCAAGAAACCCAGACTGGTATCAGACCTTGAAGTTTCCACATGATGCTAGTTTTAAAGGCATACAAGAACACAAGAGTCCCAAGGTCGTGGAGAATTCTATGCAAATTTCAATGGAGCATGGGAAGTCAGATAAATGTGTAATGGGGTCAGAATCCAAACTTTATGAAGCAAAGAGTATGAAGAAGATGAAATGGAGAAGCCCGAGAGTATGTCAGTGGAAGAAAGCTTCCAGTCTGTTAACTTAAAAAACAAACAAGCAAACAAGCAAGCAAGCAAACAAACAAACAAACAAACGGGCAGTGTGGGCAAACAGCAAGGCTGTAGAGTCAAGGCTATGCAGGTGCTTTGGAGCTTACATCACCATACAAAGGATGAAGATGATGGACACGGGAGCTACCGGATTTGATGCTTGCCATGCTGGGTTTTAGATTTGTTTTGGTCCTAAACCTATCTTTTGTGCTCTCATTTGTGCAACTGCATGCAGGAAGCAGTACATGTTTTAACTTCAGAGGTGGCTCCCAGCAAAGAGTTTGCCTTCAGCCTCAGAGACCTTAGAACTTAGTTCTTAGAGTATCTTAGAACTATTAGCTTTGGGGACTTTTGTGGATAGAATAAATGCATTTCACATTATGAGGTAGTCGTGGACTTTTGAGAAACAGTGCAGAATGTAATAATTTGAATATGAACTGTCCCCAGAAGCTTATGTGTTGAATTCTTGGTTGTTAGCTACTGGAACTATTTTGAAAAGGGGTGAAAATGTAAAGGGGTAGATTGCAGGGGAAGAAGGAAACTGAATGTTAATTCCTGAAAAGTGCTAAGTGGTTTGGATTGTCTATTCTTTCTGCTTCCTGGCCATCATGAGGTAATTTACTCAGCCATAAGCTCCTGGCATCAGGGGCTCAGGTGACCACAGGCTTAAACTGTGGGTTATAATCAGTTTCCCATTTTCTTTCTCTTCTCCTTTCAAATGTTTGTCATAGCAACAAGAATTTGACTTATACAGTCACAAGTGTAGTAAAAATGACCATGTGGCAATAAGTATACTTATACAAGGTTCTTTTAGTTCAATAAAAAAGCAGCAATGAACTCTTTAAGGTGGAAAATGCATTCAAAAATATATCAAATGTACAAAATGTTGTAGTAAATTAGACCAGTAAGTGAATATTATGTGATTTCTCTGGAATTGGAATTTGACAATCAGAAGAAGTAAGGGAGATAAAGTACTTTCCCTCCAGGAGAAATAAAAATAAATTCAGCATTTCTCCTACTAAGATTCAACAACACATCAAGGAAGAACTAGGAGTGGACATAGTACAATCTAATGAGAGAGAGAGAGAGAGAGAGAGACAGACAGACAGAGAGAGAGAGAGACAGAGAGAGAGAGAGAGAGAGAGAGAGAGAGCGCAAAACAAACATGCAGCTCAAAACTCAGGCTGAAAACATTTTCATCATCAAAAATACACTGACTTCCTGGAGTCCCGAATAAGGTGGCAGCCTCCCAGCATGCAGTGTCACACTATGTTACTTCCAATAGCAACAACAAATCACTACCCCAAAGGGGACTGCAGAGAAAGTCCCACCCAGGTCCTGAGTGAAAGGCCAGAGTGGAGGGGGGGGGGGGGCTATGATGCTTGGATGTTATGAAAAAACTGCATTTTACTCTTTGTTCATGCTCAAAGGAGAGATGGATAATGTCTTTTCTAAAATAGTGCATAGTGTCAATGAAATGGAAGTAATGTTTCACTCAAACTATTCTTTGACAATCACCGCTCTCACTGCCTTTTAACAAAGAAGAATGCCTCTAATGGCATTGCTTCTTATTTTGCTGAGCTCCTTCCATACCTAAGTGTTCTCTCTACTCAGTGGTTGCGAAGGTTAGAGGAGATCAGAGCGCCCTGAGAAGATTGGAGGCAAATCCTCATTTGTAGAATGAATGGACAGACAGAATGGGGTGCTACAAAGAGGTTCTCTGTTACTATTGTTGGAGAACCCTGCTATTAAGGTTTTGTACCACCATGTCCAGATAGCTCTCTGAGCTCAATGCGAAATGGAGAGGCCCCTTCCTCAGCGGGCTTCCTCTTTTTCCTCTAACCTTCTTGGAGAGTGTCTCTATGCTTGGATGCCTGACCCTATGTGGAGGATGACCCTGCACAGAGCTCCCTGCTAACACTATTTGACAAGCCTCACTCCTCCCTCCATATGATAATTAGGTACTTTGTCATGACCAGTCAGCCCTTCCCACCCATAACTCTAAGAACCATATACACCTTACCCCTGGGAGGATAAAATAAGCTATTTCTTTGAAACTGACTCTCGGCAGTGTTTTTCCTTATCCTCAAGGCAATCCAAACCCTGCTCACTGC